GTGCATTGAAGTTAAGTATCCGTCTTCTCATGCCTTGTGTATTGCTTTTACCATTTGAATTTCATTCATTGGTTATTATAATAATAATACTTTATTTGCGGTCACAGACCAAAACACAAGTACAACAAAAAAAGAACATGGAAAAATTAATCATGAACAATTGGTCACCAAAAACTTGACTAAGGGGAATTACAGTGATTTCATTCGTTGTTTTCAACAGTAATTGATATAAGTACGTGAAAGACCCTTTCACAAAATTTCTTCCTTGAAACTTTTGCCCTCAGACGGCATATGATTCTTTTACTGCAGAATTCTTTGCAGCCTTTGTGATGGTGATTACATTTAAATTCTTTTTTTTTTTTTGTAAATTTTATTTGAGTTTTCACAAAGAGTAAAAAAAATACAAATAAAACATCTTTTTTGAAAGTAGCATAATCCCAGGTTACATTTCTTCGTACAGACACAAATTCAGGTTCATGCTCATTTTTATATTCTATTCCATATCTTATTACTATTTTACATTTTCTGCATAACTTCTCCCTCTTTTAATTTTCTCAATTTTATTTTAATTATCTCATCTCAATTCAAATCATTGTATTTATATTTTTTGTCTGTCCTGTTTCAATTATCTATTATCTTTTCTCATTAAACAAAATTTTTCCTGTAGTTACTGATTGGAGTATGACGCCTTTATATCTTTTCCCTAAAGTTGTAACATTCAATATAATACATAACTTCCATTTGGATTCTGCTTGGTACATTCTTAAAATACACACTGTATTCTTTAAAAAAGAAAAAATATATAAATGTATATAATTAAAACAACATTCCATTCCAATTCAATTCTATCATTAATATTAATATTCATTAAAGTTTTAACATCTTTAACATTACTTTTCAATTAAATATCATACTTCTATGGGAACAATTATAAGCTTTCCATAGTTAATTCCCCCCTCTTCACTTATATTTTATAAAACATTAACTAATTAAAATGTTCCCGTTCCTTCCTAATTCAATTTTCTCATTTATTTTATTTCACTTATTTTATTCACAAACATTTCACTAAATTACACTATTTTATCCCTCATTTTAATCATACGTTGTTTCCAATTTTCTAAAGTTATTTCTATTACTAATATAATACAATCTTATGTACCTTTACAGAATCCCTTTTTCAGTTAGATTTTCACCCATTATCTCTAAATAGGTCCTGTTTCTCTATATCTTGCTCCAGTCCTTTGTAACTTCTTTTCCTTTCCTTCTTCCCTCTCTTCTTCTCTCTCCCCTTTTTACTCCCTTGTCTCTCTACCTCTATTTCTCTCTTCTGTATTCCCCTTTTCTGTTGCTTTCCAGTATTATACTTATTTTTCAAATTATTTTTCTTTTCTTTGGTTGTTTTTTTAAGTCTTAAATTCTCCATTCTCTTTCCCCGCTTTCCTTTTTCTCCCCCACATAAAATTGCTTGTTCATTAAAGATGGCTTCTTCTTTGTCCCAGTCTTCTTGTTTTGCAGTCTTTTCTTGTTGTTTCTCATAGTTCCAAATCTCCATTTCTAAGAATTGAAAAACGAAGCCAAAAGAACCCTTCCCTTCTTATGCATCTTCTTTGTACTTTTTAAGTTCCGTTTTCAATTCATCCAGAAGTGGTGCCATTGTATAAATTTTTAAACAACCACCCGATTGATTTTAGTCATTCAAATATAATAACCAAGAATCCAAAGATCACCAAATAATCCAAATACATGCAAGCTGTTTCTTTTTTGCTCTTTTTTTTCCACTTTCTCTTCCTGGGGTTACTATTTAGTTGCAAAGTTTCAGTTAAAATGTATCTTTTAGAAGTCTTGTTGAAGTTTTACTGTAGATTCTTTTTAATTCCAGGCAGTCTCCTCCCTCTTCCAGATCCTGCCCTTATTCTTTTTCTCTCCCTTCCTGCTTATGAAAAAGAATATTTTTAATGTCCAGAAATCTTTATTATCCCTTTGGCATTTTGTTTTATTTTCAGCTTAATTGCCTATTGATGTCAAAGTGGATTTTTCCGGTTTCTTATTTAAGTCTCTTAGTTGTCAGTATACGGAAGGAGAGAGAAGAAAAAAAAAAGCCAAACCTTTCCCTTTTCACTTTCCTTCGCTGCTTCCGACTCTTCTTTGGGAGCGATGTTATTTTTTGTAAGTTTAAATTCCAGGGTATCTTAGTTGTTGCTTTTGCAATTTAACCCAGTGAGCCAAAACTTTCACTTCTTATCTTCCTCCTGCACATTCTTTTCCGGTCGAGTTCTCCTTTGTGGTGACCATTTCTGACCACCATTACAACCGACTTTGGGAAAGGGAGTAATGGCCAGCTGAGGAGGAGAGATGTGGCTCTCCTCAACCCTGCTGGTGGTCTCCCCACTCTTCACCACTTCTATGGGGTGGCTTAGCCCTGAAACCAGCCGGCTCAGGGCGCTCCAGCGGCGAGCCCAGACAGAAACCACACACGATTGCGGATTTCTGTCTGTCGCTGAAGCCCTTCAAACCAGAAGTCCCTGAAGGCAATTTCTGTTCCATCAGTTGATCTCCCTCCTCCTCCTCCTCCTCCTCCTCCTCCTCCTCCTCCTCCTCCTCCTCAATCTAGATGATGAAGTGGTAGCCATAGAATTTTATAAACTGGTTTGTAGAAATGTTACTTTTGTTGAAGAGAATGAATGTGTCACTTAGGCTGGCTCAAGTCATCCCCCATTTCTGTAAAAATCACCCCGAATCATTCCAAAAATTACCTAATGAAAAAAATGTGCCAGATGATCTCATTCTGAACTTTCCTCCCTGGGCTGTATTTTTGCATGCCAGAATTTACAGCAGGAGACTCATGTTTTCTGGAAAAGAAGAAGAAAAAAAACCCTTTCCTCTATTGGTATGAATTGTTCTACACTTATATTGATGTTGCAAGAATCTCATGAGCTGCTTTGTAGAATCATATCTTACCTACTTTGGCTTTGAAGCAAGATTTAACCAAAAACCTGGCCCAGTTGGGTAAAGACCTTGAAACAGATGGACTCCTTGTATGTATGAATACCATATTTCTTTTGCCAACTGGTCGTGGTTCCAGTTTTCATTTCTTGTTTAATGTTTTAAGGAAGGTTTTAAAACTATGGACCTGGCTGGATTCTAAGCCAAGTCTTTCTAAATCCTGGGTTAATGTATGAAAGATAGATAAGTCACACTGAGTTGCGAATCTTTCAAACCATGGTTGGTTGGCTAGTTGTTGAGCAGGTTCATGCATATAGAGAGTCCTCAACTTACAATGACAGTTGAGACAGTTGTTGTGAGTTTCCCCCCATTTTATGACCTTTCTTGCCACCGTTGTTAAGTGAATCATTGCAGTTGTGAACTTAGTAACCAGGTTGTTTGTTGTGGCCAGCTGGCAACTGACACAGCTGGCAGCTGAGTCAGACAGTAGTGAGGAGGTTGGGGAGGAACCTTGGCTGGGTCTGGAGGCTGAGGAAGGCTCAGACAAGGGCTCTGCATCGAAGGCAGGGATGGGCCAGGGCAGGTTGGCAGTCAGCAGCTGCCTTCGGGTTCAGACAGCAGTGAGGCAGGGGAGTTTCTGCAGCCAGTTCCCAGCCTGCGCATGCACAGGGCTACCAGAAGACAAGAACAATTGAGAAAGCAGGGTCGACTCAGGAGTAAGGCCACATCTCGGAGGTGATTGACCCCTCTCATAGGACATAAAAGAGGAGCGAACAGGACGCGAGCTTTTGCAGGAAGCAATTAATTTGTCTGGTCAGTTCAAGCTTTGAAAAGTTCTGTTGGATTCTGTGTCAAGTTTGGCCTTGCCCTGCGTCTGGCAATTGGTTCTCTGGCCACATTCCAAGTGTGATAAGGTGGGTATAACGACCCAGGGTGTGACACAAAAATAACTAAGTCACATAAATAGAATAAATTCCCTTTAATGCCTCCAACTTGGCCCCAATGTCCAATTATCCTCGGCTGGATAACAAACACTTCAAAAAACAGTCTACAAAGGGCAGAAATGCAGTCCGAACCCAAAGTAAAGATAATTAGAAATAAAAAAACCACAACGCAAACCACACTGAAGTAATTAACACGGCAGGCCAGGATGATAAATTGCAGACTTTCAAAGGATAATGCAGCACCCACAGTTGGGAGGACGCCAAAACCCAGATAAGGCTCCACTAAGATAATGCACGCTTTGCTTCCAGCAAGGAGCTGTGTGCAGACACCTCACTTATATCCTGTTCTCCTAGCTGCAACCAATGAAGGGAATCAGGGCTCTTTCCTCCCCTGTAAACCACTCAACTCCCATTGGTCCCTTATGTGTTCCTCCCTGCATGTCCTAGGATGAACAGGGGGTGGGCCTGGGTCTTCCTCTGAATGCCCAGCCAGACTGTACCCTTCCCCTGTTTTGTCCACAGCCACTGGAGCCACAGTCCCACTCCCTGTCAGCTGCTCGACCCCCCCCCCCCTCGGAATCAGATTCCAACAAGGGCATGACAGTGGGTGTTTCTAAACATTCCCCTGAAAGTTTGTGAAGCCTTGCAGGCTGTGAATGAACGTAACTCAGAGCCATGGAAATAAGAAGAGCTTTTGCCGGGACTTAAGATTGTGTTTTATGCTTTCTAAGGAAGCCTAGGTCAGAACATGGTTAAGCAAATCTGGCTTCTCCATTGACTTGGCTTGTCCAAAGGTCACAAAAGGGGATTGCGTCATCCTGGAGACACTGCAACCATCATAAATGTGAGCCAGTTGCCCAGAGCACAAATTTGACCATGGGGAAGCTGCAACCATCGTAAATGTGGAAAAACAGCCGTAAGTCACTTTTTCAGTGCCGTTGTAGCTCTCAGATGGCTGCTAAACAAATGGTTGTAAGTTCAGGATTACCTGTAGTAGTGAGTCAATGGCAAATGTCCTTAGGGAATGCACCAGGACATGTTTTCCGGTCTTTTCTGGCCTGCCTGTAAAAATCTATGACTTGCATTGATTCCTTCTTTTAAATCTTCCACCAGGTTATTACCGCACGGAGAGAGACAAAGGCTCCCAGTATGAATTGTTCTACAAGAAAGCGGACGACATGGAATACAGGCATGTTTCGCTCTTTCGTCCATTTGGCCCCCTCATGAAAGTGAAGACGGAGACCGTGGACATCTCCCAGTCATTGATCAATATCATCGTTCCTCTGGCAGAAAGGACAGAGGTGTTTGCCCAATTCATGCAGAATTTCAGGTAAGTGCATAAGAAAGAAGATACTTTTATTTTTATTGTCATGTTGTTTTTTTTACTGTGAGCACTTATATTAAAAACCAAAAACTGTTGCCTGCTCTCCAAAGAAAGTATATGTCAGCTTTGGAAGCCATATTAGCTCCAGGCGTGTCTATGCTGCCACCTTCTTGAGCCTGGGCAAATGGGAGGGGGGAATTTCTTGGAGTGTATGTGGTTAGACATAATAGCATTCTTTTTCTAAGTCAAGGTCGTGTTATCTCTGCACCTGGTGAAGGGGACGTCTCAAGTTGGGAAGGATAGTGATTGGGGCATGTGATATGATGATGGGTGCAGGGGGTGGGTTTGTGATTTTTTTACTTATTGCAAGAAAATCTGGAACTTTCAGATTTGGGATTTCCCAGATGTGCCAGTTTACTAATCTAATAAAAGGAACCTTGGAGAGGATGTCTGTCTCAGACTTATTTGTTGGAGTGGAACACTGAAACACTGACAGTATATATCTACCCATACACATACATAACATGTATACACGTGCTATATACATACAAACAGAGAAACCCTTTTCTTCTGCACCAATCACGGACAATCTCTTTGCTTAGCAATTGTGGTATTCACTTACCCGCTAGGAAAAAGGAGTGTAAAATCAGGCATGGACATGCTTAGTGGCTGCCACTATTTAAAACTCTATTTTGCAGCTCAATGATAGTTGTTAAATTGACGATAATCTATATCAGTGATGGCTAACCTTTTTTGGCTCCTGTGCCAAAAATTGTGTGCGTGCTTGCACTTGCACGCTTGCATGCCAGCACCCAGAAGGCAATGCACACACATCCCCCATGCCCCCTCTGCATGCATGCACAATACCCCCCCCCACCGCCTCCTTAACTGCACTGCACCTCCCAGCTGATTTTTGGCCCATTTGAGGCCTTTTTCAGCCTCCCAGAGGCTTGAGGACAGCTTCTGCAGGCTTTGCAGGCCGAAAAATGGGCCCATTTTGTCACTTCTGGTATTTCCGGAAATACAGGAAGTGACGAAATGGGTCTATTTTTCAGCCTGCAAAGGCTTTCCTCAAGCCTCTGGGAGGCTAAAAAAGGCCTCAAACAGACTGAAAATCAGCTGTGAGGCGCACTCATGCACAATGAGGTAAGTTTGCCTCTGGCTTGCGTGCCGGCACAAATGGCTCTGCATGCCATCTGTGGCACATATGCCATAGGTTCGCCATCATGGATCTATATTGTGATAGATTGGAGACAGATTTCCTGAAATAAATCGTCATTGATAGAGGCAGCACAAATTGTGTTCTTCTGTTTAGTAATTCCGAATGCAAAACTACTTGGTTGAAAAAGCTTTTGTTAATCTATTCCCATCGGTAGACACTGGGTCCTGTCATTTGCTAGGATAATAGATTAGATCTGGTATAGTGTTTCCTGGGAAACAACAAGATTCAGATGAGTGCCAGAGGAAAAACTTTCAACAAATGCTAGAGTTACATAAAATGAACCAAAGCAGAATGTAAATATGAATGCTGAAGGCTAAAACCCTCAAAAGCATAACTTATTCTATTTTAAAACTATGGCACACTAACATACGGAGTGAATTAGCAATGAGAAAGAATCGCATGTTATATCATTGAGAAATCCTGAATTAATACACCACTGGGCGGTTGCTAAAAAATATCCTGTGCATCATGCTGGCATCGCCTACGTGAAGTTTCAGAATAACAATATGAAATCCAAAAACGAATCTTTGACTAAGACTTCATACTCCTCCGTGGATTTCTTACAATACCAGGCAGTCTTTTGCTGATCATCTTTGGATTTCGAATCTGTATTGCAAGTAAATAATTTACATGGAAATCCTCCAGAGCCAGCTGAATTGCCTTTAATTGCACATAATCTGGCAGATAATCTCTGCAGAAAAAGCATTGCAGTAGAAAATGGAACATCAGCCCTTGGGTAGATTTCTCGTTAAGCAGAATAGTCTTCTGTTTTCTCTCCAAAGCAGCTGAAGCAAGGATGGTAAAAAGGGTGGATACTCTGAGACATTTCCGGAGGATGAGTTGTTGAAGGCACTGATGGATTGGGAGGTTCTGCAGCTCTTGACTTCGGCTGACAGAGTCTGTCTTGATGTTCCTGTGCGCTAATGATCCTCTTTTAATGACCCCATAATCCCTTGGGGGTGGAGTCTGGCCAATTGAATGGAGCTAGCAGAGTGTTTTAATGGCCGGATGCCTTTCTTGTCACCAGTGTGGAGTTTTTTTCCCCCAGCAGATATATTCTCAGTGTGCCCAGAGAGAGAAATATCTGCCTCTACCCAAGATCGAACTCACAGCCTCCTGATTGTCAGGTGAGAGCTCCACCTGTAGGCCACAGTGTTGCTGTGCACTAATGTGCTTGTGAATCTATGCCTCATCATCTCTCTTGGCTTGCTTAGATTCCAGGCCTAGCAATTGGGGGAGAAAATCCACCCCTGAAGCACGTGATCAGAATTCAGAAGCTTGGCAACTGGCATGTACTTGTGACGGTTGCATCGTCCTCTTTTACGACCTTCCGATAAGCAAAGTCCGTGGCAAAACCAGATTCACTTAAGAACCTTGTTGCAAATTTAACAACTGGAGTGATTCACTTAGCAAATCCAGGAACTGACGTGGTGCATTAGACTTAATCTTAAGATAAAGCTTCTGATTCCACATTTAATAGATAAGGATAAGAAGATGGCAGTCGCATACTTGTTTTTTCCCCATCGTTCTGCTATATCGTTTCCTCCCAATTACTCAGCACATTAATCTCCTGCAATCCATCTGGTCATCCACAAACAAACCAATAATCCAACTCCACCTGAGGTTGGAAGTTTCCAAGATATGCAGTTTCATTGACTCATAATACTTAATCAATTAATTAGCCAATAATTCTCAGGAAGACCTTTCCCAGAAGAATGAATAGAATAGAATAACAGAGTTGAAAGGCAAGAAGGCCTACAGTACCATTTCAGATAACATGGCCGTCCAATCTGTTCTGAAAATCCTTCAGTATTGGAGCACCCACAACTTCTGGTGGCAAGCTGTTCCACTGGTTAATTGTCCTCATTGTTAGGAATTTTCTCCTTAGTTCTAAGTTGCTTCTCTCCTTGTTTAGTTTCCACCCATTTTGCTTCTTGTCCTGCCTTCAGGTGCATTGGAGAATAGCTTGACTCCCTCTTCTTTGGGGCAGCCCCTGAGATATTGAAACATTGCTATGGACTCAATTATGGGCAGCCCGAAACTTTTAAGAAATCTAGCTGGTTTGTTATGTTTTGTTTTTTCAATCAAAAAAAAAAATCGTAACAAAGCCAACATGGGTAGTTCAGATGGTTTGTGGACAGCCCTAGTGAGGTTAGATCTTACTGAGATTTCATCTGATAAATCCATTTGGAGAATCCTGACTCTGAAAACTTCTGTTGGCCAGTAGAGGAGATCTTTTGTGTGTGTATGTGTGAAGAAGTTACCGACTCACTAATCTTTTCTTTTGCTCCCAGGGATGTTTGCATTAATCAGGACAAGCGAATTCATCTCACTGTGGTGTATTTTGGGCAGGAGGGGCTTTCTGAGGTCAAAAGCATCTTAGAATCGGTTGCAAGGTGAGTCTCGAGGAATCACGGAGATGCGACAAGAGGAAGTAAACCAAGAATGGAAGTGGTCTGTACTACCCCTTCAAGTTCTCTTGAAACGATTTGGTTTCATTTTAGGGGCAAAGTTGCATCCTTCATGTATTTTTATTTGTTTGTTTGTTTGTCAAACATGCACAAGATAACAAGTATAAGTATGAACACAAAGAAGAACAAAGGGAGTAAATACAGATAAATGGGGTTGGTGAGACAGGGATGGTAGGCACGCTGGTGCGCTTATGCACGCCCCCTTTAAGGACCTCTTAGGAATGGGGTGAGGTCCACGATAGACAGTTTGAGGTTGAGGCTGTGACCACAGAGTCAGGTAGTGCAGGGGTCTCCAACCACTGGTCCCTGGACCAGTACTGGTCCGTGGATCATTTTTTACCGGGCCGCAAAGCTTGAGGCCCGTTGTATAAATGAAGAACAGTGTGGTGTGTAGTAATCTTTGCTCCACAGGGAACCCAACACAGATATACTTTGCAATAGAAACTCTGTAAGGGTGAAACGTGAGACATGGAGCTTGGTTGAACTAACTGGCCTTCAGGGTATTGTGTTGAACTTGAATGTCCTAAACTCTTGATTCTTTCTCTTGTTAGAGAGGCTGACTTCCATAACTACACTCTGGTTTCTCTGAATGAGGAATTCAACCGTGGCCAAGGACTGGATGTGGGTGCCCGTGCTTGGGAAAAAGGGGAGGTCTTGATGTTCTTCTGCGATGTGGATATTTATTTCACGGCTGAATTCTTGAACAGCTGCCGCCTGAATACAGAACCAGGTAGGTTTCTCTTTATGCCCTGAAGCGAACGGAGAAGAGGTGGGACAACATGGCCCCTGTTGACATCCTTGTGATAGGTGTCCTTGAAATCTTACCTCGTAAGATTTCTTACCCACATAATAAAATAAGGGTACGGCAGCAGCCAAAAAAGCCAAGACAATCCTGGGTTGTATAAAAAGAGGCATAGAATCAAGACCTCGTAAAGTATTAGTACTATTTTATAAAACCCTACTAAGGCCATACCTGGAATACTGCAACCAATTTTGGTCACCACACTACAAAAAGGATGTCGAGAATTTGGAAAAAGTTCAAAGAAGAGCAACTAAAATGATCAAAGGCCTGGAGACTAAAACATATGAAGATCGGTTGCCGGAACTGGGTATGGCCGGTCTAGAGGAAAGAAGGACTAAGGAGGACATGATAGCAGCATTCCAGTGTTTGAGGGGCTGCCACAAAGAAGAGGGAGTCAAATTATTCTCTAAAGCTCCTGAAGGCAGGCAAGAAATAATGGTTGGAAACTAACCAGAGAGAAGCAACCTGGAATTAAGGAGAAACTTCCTAGCAGTGAGGACAATTGACCGGTGGAACAGCTTTGCCTTCAGAAGTTGTGGGTGCTTCTTCACTGGATATTTTTAAGAAGAGATAGGACAGTCACCTGTCTGAAATGGTATAGTGTTTCCTGCTTGAGCTGGGGTGTGGACTAGAAGACCTCCAAGTCCCTTCCAGCTTCTATTCTACCCTACCCTACCCTACCCTACCCTATTCAATTTCCCAGTCTTCTTATTTTGCTCTTTTAATCCTACGTCAGCTGCCCAGAGTTGCAATTGCTCATTGGGTGGTGCGGAAAATCACATTAGTAAGTAAATTGGATGAAGCAGCCGTCACGTCTTCTCAGAATGTACCTGTGGACCCAAGGAACTGGCCTACTTTTGTAGCTGATGCTTGCAAAAAAGTGGACATTTCAGCCCCACTGATTGCAACATTACCCCCATCTTTATTTCCCCCTCCCCCCTTCCCTCATTCCCCTTTTCCCAGCATGAAGAAGCTTTATATTGCAAAAGACTTCTTTGGATATTCTCTTGGATTGTAAATTTTCCTGAGGCATTTCATTTCTCATGGTTTCTTCAGTCCTGATAGAGTCATATATTTTCCTTGTGAACAGCTGATGTTCCATAAACCACTGAATCAATCCTTTGCTAGACATCTGGAAAATTACTTGGGGGTTTGTGTAAGACAGTGGTTGCTTCCATTTCATCTATTATATTTATAGAGAGAGTTTCTTTCTCCTCATTTTCTCTCCTAAACATGGCATATGAGTAGACTCCATCACACACCATTGATGGCTTTTTGTTAAGATGATCATAAACAAAAAAACAATTATAAGATTATTTTTTTAAAAAACATGTTGTATAAATTACAATAGGAAACTCTGCCTCTGTTTCTACCTTCCTGTCCTTTATGTTCCTCTTTGGGATATCACAAGCTGCCAAAGAGAATTTGGCCGACTGCCTTGTAAATTTGCACTCCTGCAAGTAAGTTGTTTGTATAAAATTGTGTGGAACACCTGGAGATGTTTATACTAAGGGGTAATTATGGTGTTATGCATATCCTTTTGGAAGGAAAATGGGGTCTAATGTTTCTATCTCAGCTTTCTCACAGTTCCACCATATTGTGTGGAGCAGAGTATTACTATATTTATCTCATTATTCCTAAATTGTATATTATGGAACAGTGACCACACTGAGCTTCACAAATGAGCCAGGACATAGCTTTCATGGAAGCTACGTTCCATGAAAACAAGTCAGCTATGTCTGGTGTGTGTGTGTGTGTGTGTGTGTGTGTGTGTGTGCATACAAATACGCAGAGAAAAACACACACACTCAAGCACATACACTATATAGTATAACTAGATATGTATGCCTAGTCTAATGAAGAGAAAGACTAGAGGTCATTGCAATGTTCCATTATTTGAGGGTCTGCCATAGAGAAGGGCAGGGGGAATCAACTTATTTTCCAAAACACTAGAAGGCAAGACAAGAAACAATGGAGGGAAACTAATCAAGGAGAGAACCAACCTAGAAATAAGAAGAAACTTCTGTTGTGGTTAGCCGGCAGCAGGTGCAGATGGCTGAGGAGAGCAATGACTCTGACGAGAGGCCAGGACCATCAGGGAGTAGACTACTGCCTTCAGAGATTGTGGGGTCTGGTAGCAGTGACGAGGAGATTCCCGAGGAGCCTGTGCCAAGTGCACATGCACGAAGGATTACTCGGAGGAAAGAACGATTACAGCAGCACAGGCGACTCAGGAGTAAGACTGCATGGTAATGGCCCCTCCCTCAAGAGGATAAAAGCCAGGTTTGGAAAAGCGTTCTTTGCAGAAAGCAAAGAAGCTCTGAAATTCAACTGATGGACATCTTAGTTCGTGTTTGGAGAATCTTGTAAATGAGTTCTTATCTCCGGGTTTTTGGCAGCCTTGACAAACAACCTGGCAAGGCTCTTTCTTATCGGAACTAATTAGTGGAAAGCAACCTTCAGAACAGAATTCGTTATTAAATCTTAAAAGGTGGAGGCTGCTGCCTTTGTCTGTGTTTGCTCTTTGGGAACCCAGTTGGGTCAAAACAACTTCCTAGTGGTGAGAGCAATCAAGGGAATAGCTTGCCTTCAGACGTTGTGGGTGTCCCATTACTGGAGGTTTCTCAGAAGAGATTGGACAGCCATTTATCAAGAGTGGCATGGGTCTCTTGCTTGAGCAGAGGGTTGGACTAGAAGACCTCCAAAATCCCGTCCAACTCTGTTATTCTGTGTTCTGTATTTCAGGCTGGATGCCTTCAGTCTTAAGATTTATATTGTACTCTCAATTGTCTCTGTTAGATGCATGTCATGTTTTAGGGCAGGGTGATGGCTCATTGGTTAAAGACCTTGGGGTTGTCAGTTGGAAAGCCAACAGCCCATGTTTGAGAGCTGAACACCGTGCAAGGGGATGAGCTCCCATCTCCCCCTTCACTCCTGTCTATCTAGCCTTTTGGAAACGTGCAAATGCAAGTAGATAAATAGGTACCACTTTGGTCAGGAGGAAAGAGCATTCTGTGACTTCATGCTGGCAATAGGACCACAGAAAACTCTTTGGACAGTGCTGGCTCAATGGCCTTTGAAATAGACATGATGTTGTGGCCCACAGCTGCCAGTGGAGCTGGCAGCAGACTTGGACAATGAGGAGGTGAACTTGGGCCAGTTCTGGAGCCTGGGGAAGGCTCTGATGGATGCTCAGCGTTGGACACAGAGGTAGAGCCAGGGCCGTCCAGCATTTCCCAGACAGAGAGGCAGCTGCCTTTGGAGTCAGAGATGAGTGAGGAGGAGGAACAGCTGGGGCCTGTTTCAGATGTGCGTATGTGCACAGTAGATAGAAGTGAGCAACCGAGGACAATGAGCTGGCTCAGGAAGCAAAAGTTAATGTGGACGCTGAATGGTCCCTCCCTGGCTAGGGAATAAATAGTAGGAAAGGGGAGTGGTTTGGTTGTCACAGGGAACAGTTTTCATTTCTGGAAAGTTTGCTCCTTGTGTGTTTTGTGCAACAAAGTTTGCCTTGCCGGAACTGAGGTTTGTCTATTTCTCTAGTTGAACTGACGTAATTTGCAGCCTCCCAGCTGGGAGCTCACAGCCTTGCATTTATCATAATGAGCCGATAAGGACTATTGTTTCATTTAACTGCTTGCAGGACTCTTGCCTGGACTTTCTGTTGGTGAAGGCAGTTAATTCCCAAGGTGTAAAGAAAGAGGGTTTTTGTTTTCTTTGCAAGAAGTCTGTTTCTTGTTTCTGCAAAGTCTGGGTCAGAACACATGAGCACTGCTCCCTATAATTGACAATCACTTGGGGAGTAAAATCTGTAGGGACCTTCTCCTTCCATGTTACAGTGGCAAAATTGTACCCTTCAGAGGGACCTTTCAGGTAGATATCATATGTGATAAGGTAAAGGTTCCCCTGGAACATACATGCTAGTCGTTTCCAGCTCTAGGGGGCAGTGCTCATCTCCGTTACAAAGCCAAGGAAGAGCCACCGCTGTCCAATGACGTCTCCGTGGTCATGTGGCGGGCATGACTAAACGCCAAAGGCGCACGGAACGCTGTTCCCTTCCCACCAAAGGGATCCCTATTTTTCTACTTGCATTTTTTAAATGTGCTTTCAAACTGCTAGGTTGGCAGAAGCTGGGACAAGTAATGGGAGCTTACTCCGTTACGCGGCGCTAGGGATTCGAACCGCCGACCTTTCTAATTGAGAAGCTCAGCCACTTAGCCACTGCGCCACCGCGTCCCTTCTTCGTATGTGATAGCATCAGGTTTTTGAACCCCTTTAGAAACTACGGCCTGCAAACCTCTTCATATACAAACTCTTTGAAGGACATCTTTAGAACATCGGGATGGTTTCATCCCCAAACTGATGACGTTCTCCAATATCTAAAGAACACATGGGACTATTAACAGGATCTTTCTGCAGGATCCCTTTTAAGCTTGTTACAGATTCTTCTTCTATTTGGGAAATAGTTTAACGGTTAATTTTTATTTTTTTTTTAAAAAAAGAGAGACATGTCTGCCTTTTCTTCCTTAGTCATTCACACAGAGTAACAAATCTTTCCCCTTTTTTTTGCAGGCAAGAAGGTTTTTTATCCGGTGGTTTTCAGCCTTTATAATCCTGCCATTGTCTATGCTAATCAAGACGGGCCACCTCCAGTGGAACAGCAACTGGTAAGAGAAGCTTTAAAAACGTTACTCTCCATAAGTAACCACACCATGCAGTGCATCGTTTCCTGGAACATCATTAAAAATGAAGTTTTGCTCGTTGCGAATGGATCTGTCCTGGGCTTCACTGAATTTTCTTCAAATAACACAAACAGAGGAAGAACAAATGGCATGAAAAAAAGAGAGAAACCTTTGCTGAAATTTTTTCTTAGGTTATCAGATTCACATTTAGAAAGTTTCCATTTGTTTTAGTTTTCTTGGACTCGGCGAATTTTTGGAAAAATTATGTGTTTGGAGTCAGTTTCATTAGTATTTATTTTAGTCACCTTCTAGTGGAGATGGGCAACATAAAAATATATTGATAAATATAAGATTAGATAGGTAGGTAGGTAGATAGATAGATAGATAGATAGATAAATAGATAGATAGATAGCAGATGTATATACATGCATACATACAATCCATACATACTTACATACATACATGAGAAAGAGAGAGAGAGAGAGATAGAAATAAATGATAGATAAATAGAGATGATAAAGATAGATAGATGATAGAGGCAGGGAAGGAGGGAGGGAGAGAGAGAGACACTAGACATATATATGTGCATATGTACAGAGAGAGAGAGAAAGAGAAAGAAAAAGAGAGAAAGAAAGAAAGAGATGGTATACAGACTGTGGGGAATTTCTCCCCAAAATGAAAAGCAACCTATAAATGAAATGTAAATTCATTTTGGGGAGAAACCCCCTGCAGCCTGTAGGGCAAGAGTTAGTTCATTCCAATGACACTCTGCCTATCCCAAAATTTTCATGTTGGCTGAAGAAGTTACTCGGATGAGTAACGAAATGTCTACGTTTTAATAAACATTGGTCCAGTTGCCGCAATTTAATCTTTTAAGGTACAGTATAGAAGGTTTATTCAAACCTATTCACAAGAATCTGATCCACTCATGGTCAGCACTAAATCGGTGCTGGAGAAAGGCCAGTGGAATTCAAGGGGTGAGGGTGTATCTGGATTTGGACTTCTTTTTTTTTTAATTTTTTTTTAATTTTTAATAACAAGATAAACACAAACATACATAAAATAAACATAAACATACCACAAAAAACATAAAAAGATCCTTCTTCATAAATTTACATACAGTGCATCGATTGGTTTACCACTTTTTTTTGTGCATCCATTTCCTAGTCACTAGTATAATTATATTGCATAATAGCTCATATTATCAATCAATAATTGTATAACCTAATATCATCACTAAAAAAAAAAAATCATTTATAATTTTGTTAATTCATATTTTAACGAGATAACTATAGTTTGCTTAATTTATTTTGCAAATGACAAAGACACATATAGACTTGAAACCAGAGATTTTTTTATTGGGAATCTTACCTGATATATATAATAAAAATTTGAAGTATTTGATTGTAAATATATTAACAGCGGCTAGGATTGTATTTGCTAAGAACTGGAAGAGTGAGAAAACTCCATCAGAAGAAGAAATTATTAAGAAAATATTGGATTGTGCTGAAATGAGCAAATTGACATTTGAAATCAGAGAACAAGAAGATAAACAATTTTATGAAGTTTGGGATCTTTTTTTATCAATGGTTAGATAATAAAACATAATGATAGAATATTCAGATTTAGCATAAAAAAAAAATTTTTTTTTTCTTAATATTATCTGGATTTGGACTTCTTGTGTCAACGCAAGGACACTAAACTGATAGTGCATTTAGCTCCACCCCTGGCTTCCGTCAGCAGTTCGCCTACAGACAGATTTCAATAAGGAGCAGAATTAGAGATCAAGGGGAGGATCTTGGAAGCCGTGATGGGACCTCTCAGTCCTTTTCGTAGTGAGTTCATTAAGGTGGTGGTATCCTGTTGAACCTTTAGGATCTCTTCCCAAAGCCCAATAATGTCTGTGGAGAATCTCAGCCCTCCAGGTCGTGGTTGTCCCAAAGGTGCTTATTCAAGCGGCAACTGGACTTCGTTTTACCTTGAAGATGTTTCGCTTCTCATCCAAGAAGCTTCTTCAGCTCTTCAGTTCAGAACTGAGGAAGCTTCCCAGATGAGAAGTGAAACGTCTTCAAGGAAGAACAAAGTCCTGTTGCCTCTTGAAAAAAAGCACCTTTGGGTCTTTGATGGAATAATCTACTTCTAAGCACCATTTTCCCTTCTGTGGTCGGTTAAAGTCTATGTCCCCTCTTCCTTTTCTCACAATCAGGCAATGCGGATTCATTTCAGGAGGTCTTGTTGTTCCGCTCTGTCCTGAAGAAACTAAAACTCTGCGTCTGTTTATGTCATAGGTCCACAAAAAGGATTCTGGGTTCTGGAGAGATTTTGGCTTTGGGATGATGTGCCAGTATCGAACGGATTTCTTGGCCATTGGTAAGATGTATAAACACCTTGCTTCTGATTTTGGTTGAGAGGGTGCCCAAAAGTTTTCTCTTTTATTTATCACTGTTTTGTAATCCCCAGTTTTAGGACCATGGTCAGATTGATTAGGCATCTGGTACAGCCTGAATCTATTAAGGCTTATTAAGGCTGGATTTTCTGCTGAACTACACACGGCTTACAACTCTTGTATTGCTTGATCTAAAGGGTGGGTGGTTGAATCTAAAGGATGGGTGGGTGAGCACAAGCTTTCAATTAGTTATTTATCGAGTGTAAGTTAATTAATTCTTGCCAGGATTGCAACATTCTGATCTTAGACTTTTGTGAATAGTTTATTCCCATTCAAATAACTTTTTTTTTTAAAAAAAAGGAAAACTAACATGAGTAATCGAAACATTTTTTTTTTTCATTTGGTTCGTTGGTGCCACCATGTGGCTCTACAGAAATGTTTTCAGCAAGAGAGATGATCAAAATTATGCTTCCATGTAAATTGTAATACATTGCAGCAAAATAGGTGAAATTGGAAACCGCTTCATTCGCTAGGTAAATTATTCTAAGTGAAAACTGTAATGTTACCCTGTCAGGATTCCGGCAGTTACCCCAATTAGATCATGAATCTCGAGCCAAGTTTGCGCTTTCAGAATGACATAATACAGATTTTTTCCCACCTTCTTGAGTGCAGGATTTATTAATTTATTAATGGCAAGTAAACAGAAACAAAATTTCAACATCTTGTTTCCGTCATGGGAATAATTGCCTTTCTTACATATCTGCTCTAAATTAGCGTGTAATGTATTTAAACATTCTTAATCCATAGAATTGTAACCATCACATCCTATCCCTTCACAAAAGGGTTCTCAATATTTGTCTACCCCACCCCTTTTTAATAAACAATTGAAGGGTCCTTGGTGGTCTCTGAACTTGGTTGTTTTCTTGAAGCCGTTTCATTACCAAACTAGGTAACATCATTAATGCTACCTACCTGGTAGCAGGTTGGTAGCACAGGTAATGTTACTTGGTTTGGTAATGAAACATCTGCAAGAAAACAACCAAGCTCAGAGAGCACCAAGGACCTCACAGTCCTCTTCCACTTCCTCCTCCTCCACCTGCACTACTACCACTCCACTCCCTTCTAGCACTGATGATATTACCTAATTTGGTAATGAAATGTCTGCAAGAAACCAACCAAACTCAGAGAGTACCAAGGACCTCACAGCCCTCCTTCTCCTCCTTCTCCTCCAACCCCTACCATCCCACACCATTCTAGCACTGATACTGTTACCTACTCAAGAAAGTAAAAACTCTTGAAAACATAGTATTTCCAAAGGAACCTTTTATTGAGTAGAAGTGATAGCAGAACAAAAGCAAAGCAGACTCCGAATTCCCTCAGGCAATACAGTTAGAAGTAAGGGATTAGAGCCTCCCCCCTCCCTTCTGTCCAATGTGGATTCAGACAATCCACAGGTGTGGAGATGTTATTGTAACGGCTGTCATGAGAACCAGATAAGCAAGCGTTCCCAGGGTCATCCTCCACCTGCTTTCAGAGTGAAACAACCCACATGGCCCTCCCCCCTTGTACATTCCACTTAGAGAGGGCTGTAGATCACTATAAAGTGGTATAGTAAATCTAAGTGCTAGTGCTATTGCTATCCCCCAAAGGTGAGAAAATCTCAGGACACTTAGGTTCCAGGATAAAGGTTATAAAACAGCAGTTGTCAAAAGTAGTAATAAAGAAATGTATTCGTGGTTCCCCCCACCCCACCTTCCCCCAGTTGAATGACAGTATCGTTCTAGGGATCTGACATGACTTCACTCTGGTTTCCCACAGGAGGTTTTGATCTGGAAGTCAAAGGGTGGGGCGGAGAAGACGTTCACCTCTACCGGAAGTACCTGCACAGCAACCTGATGGTGGTTAGGACCCCAGTGCCGGGCCTTTTCCACCTCTGGCATGAGAAGCACTGTGCCGACGAATTGACTCCCGAGCAGTACCGCATGTGCATCCAGTCGAAAGCCATGAACGAGGCGTCTCACTCGCACCTGGGCATGCTTGTATTCCGGGAAGAGATCGAGACCCATCTGCGCAAGCAAGCCTACAAGACTAACAGCGAAGCCATTGGCTAGAACGATCTTCGGGGCAACCTTCAGACTCCGTCACTGCTACGAACCAAGTTTGGTTTGGAAGAGCCTTAATTAACTCAGCTTACAAACATACAGTGCCTCTCCTCCCCCTCTCTCTCTTTCTCTCTCTGAGTCGAAAGATTTCTTTCTGCGGCCAGGTATCGCCAAGAACCTCGCCAGAGGAGCGTTCACCCAATGGAAGTCTTTCCCTTCACTTTCGACAAGTCGGACGTTGCGCGTGGGGTGGGCCGGGCTGGGCCAGGACGAAGAAGAAGACAGCACACCTGTTGCGTTTTCCACTTTTCATAGCTTGGGTTCTCTCACCTGCATTCCGCGAAGGTATGGATCGCCCTCTCCCGTTTCCCGCACTAGTTCTGCATTCTTCCTTTCCTTCTTCTTTTTTTAGAACCGACACGGTACGTTCGCCCTTCGATGGGCCCTTCGATGGGAAGAGGCAGAAGGGGGTGTGATTGTACCGACTGACATATCATTGCAGCTGGAACTGCTCAGTTTGCCTTATCAGGAACATCCATCCACTTGCAAATAAATAAATAAATCGAGATGTTGAGTTTCTAAAAATAAAAAATAAAAGACCGTCGAAGAGTTTATGATACAGTCGCCGTGCGGTACTTGAGTGGATTGTACACGAGTTGAGCTTTATATACTGTTTGCTTATCCTAGTTCCTGGCCAATTTTTTCTTTTTCTTCTGAATGTTTGGTGACCTAGAACAAGCAAGGGTTTAAATAGTTCAATCCAGATCCTCTTGGCTCTTCAGAGGAAAGTCGTAGCGTTTCCGTCCCTGGACCGAGGTGGAGAGCATCAGAAAATTACCCTGAAAGTTAGAAAGAAGACAACTTGCTAACTATCTCCTTTTTATATTTCTTAGCTTTGGGCGCACAAGTCCATCTATTCAGGATGAATTGGAATGAACATTAGTGGCAGAAAAGTGGAATTATGCTTTCTCTCTCTCTCTTTTTTAAAAATTTATCCATTTCAAACAGGATTTGTCAAAGAGAGGCCCAGAATTCTCCCAACAAATTCCTGGATAACGAAAAGAAGACAGGGTTGGGATATTTTCTTGGTCTGAATCGCCGTATACTATTCCGGCTCATCCCTTTTTAACACATAGTTTGCTTTTTCTATAACATTGTGGAGAACGCATATTATTTATCTGACTTGGAGAGAATGTCACGGGGCTTGTTGTTGTCATGTCTTTATAAATAAATTCAATATTCCTCTCTTTTAATATTTGACTGGTTTCTTCCTTGGAACTCAGCCCGGGGGGACGGGGGGAGAGAATAGGGGGAAAGAGAAGCAGCTACACCAAAGAACTCCAAATTGTGAGGAGTTTGTGAGGCCAGTATGGAGAATGGGCTGTTGTGAGCCTTCTGAACAAATGGGTTGCTTGTAAGCTCACAGTAAAGGAATGTTTTTTTAAAAAAACAAATAAATTTTATTAATTTTCTATTAATTACATTCCTTAGTGGTTAATAAACACCGTGTTGTCTGAGTATTTAATTTGCTTAACAATACAAATGCCAATTCTTACTCTCCACCCCTTTTTTTCCAACCACTGGTAAAATAAATTCCAAGTTTGATAATATTCCGTGGCTTCTTGCTGTTTGATTTTCATTGTAAGTCTGTCCATTTCTGCACAGTCTAATATCTTCTTAATTATCTCTTCATCTTGAGGGGTTTCTTCATCTTTCCAATATTGTGCGAAGATCATCCCCGCTGCTGTTAAAACATGCAATACTAAATACATCGCTTATCAAATTTATTGATATCATCCCCAATAAAAACAGTTCACGTTTAAAATCTACATGTTTTCTTATTATCTTTTCTAGCCATCTTTGTATTTTTGCCCCAATTTTTTTCTTTGTTTTAGCACAAGTCCACCACATATGATAAAATGTGCCATCTTTTTGATTACATTTCCAATATTTTCTAGACATATTTGTAAATATTCCTCTCTTTTAATATTTGACTGGTTTCTTCCTTGGAGCTCAGCCCGGGGGGAAGAGAATAGGGAAAAGAGGATCAGCTACTTCAAAGAAACCCAAATTGTGAGGAGTTTGTGAGGCCAGTTTGAAGAATGGGCTGTTGTGAGCCTTCCTAACAAATTGGTGTGATGACCCGGGGCATGGCACGAAGGCAACACAGCCAGAGACAGGTATGAGTCCCTTTATTTGCTCCAACTTTGCCCCCAATGTCCCATTCACTCTCCATCTTGGAGAAAAACTCTCCCATGAACCTGCAACAGCCTCTGGTTGCAGATATTTCCGTTTAAATGCTATAAGCAGAATGACTGCAATCAATCACTCCAGCAGGGCAAGATAGTGAGTCCAAGAAGCAAAGAATCATGGTAATAATTCCAGCAAAGCAAGATAAGCACACAGAAGCATGGCAAGAATTCAAACAGTCAGGAGGAATGCCGTGAATGCAGGCCACAACTCACAACACTAGATGAATTCAGCATTAGTTCCCGACAAATGCTCCTCCCAACTGCCTCTCCTTTAAACTCCCTCCCTAGGTGTGCCTTGTGAAGGAAATCAGGGCCCTTTCCTCCCCCGTAAACCATGCAACCCACCTCGCTCCCTTCTCCATTCCTGTGCGCCCTAGGATAGGAGGGGGTGGGCCTTGGTCTTCCTCTGAACCCCCTCTCCCTTGTTCTACCTCTCCCCTGCTCTGCCCAGCCGGACTTTGCTCTTCCCCAGTTTCCTCCACAGCCAACGGAGCCACTCTCCCACTCTCTGACAGCTGTTCATCTTCCATCTCAGATTCAGTCTTCGATAGGGGCATGACAATTGTTAAGCTGACAATAAAGGGATGTCTTGAGATAGCCTTTTCCCTTCCTGGGGTTATTGAGAAAACAAATTGAAAAGTACACTAAGGGAAACTTTGTCTTGCTGCCACAGAAAATAGCATGTCATTACAATACAGCTAGTCCTCGACTTATGACCACAACCGAGTCAGAATCTCCCTCGCTACATGAGGCAATTGTTATGTGATCTTTTCTCCATTTTAAAACCTTGCCACCGTTGTTTAGCGGATCCCTGCTGTTACAAAGTTAAGAACATGGTCATTAAGTGAATCTGGTTTCCCCCCCATTGACTTTGCTGGTCAGAAGATCACAAAATGGGATCACTGTGACCCTGGGACACAGCGACAGTCATAAATACAAGTCGGTTGCCAAAATGTCTGAATTTGGATCATGTAACTTTGGGGGATGCCACAATGGTGGTCAGTGTGAAAAACGTTCCTAGGTCACTTTTTTCAGTACTGTTAGGACTTTGGATGGTCACTAAACAAATCGTTTAGTCGAGGGCAACCTGTACCAATGAAAGGTAGAACAACTCAAAGGATTAGTGCAAGATTGGAAGACATGGGGAGACCTGGCCCCTAGATTCCTCAAGAGTCGGACACGACTGAAAGGATAACATCACACATTAAAAACTGGTGTGCAAGGTAAGGTATTTTGATATTCTAAGAATAGAATGGTCACGGTGGCTCACTGGCCAAGACACTGAGCTTGTCGATCAGAAAGGTCAGCAGTTCGGCAGTTCGAATCCCTAGCGCCGCGTAACGGAGTGAGCTTCCATTCCTTGTCCCAGCTTCTGTCAACCTAGCAGTTTGAAAGCATGTACAAAATGCAAGTAGAAAAATAGGGACCCCTTTGGTGGGAAGGTAACCATGTTCTGTGCACCTATGGTGTCCTGCCGGCCACATGACCATGGAGACGTTTTTGGACAGCACTGGCTCTTTGGCTTTGAAATGGAGATGAGCACCACCCCATAGAGCCAGAAATGACTAGCACGCATGTGCGAGGGGAACCTTTTAGAATGGACTGGAGTGGAGAGTGGAGAGTGGAGAGTGGAGTGGAGTGGAAGGGAAGAGGAAGAGAAGAGAAGAGAAGAGAAGAGAAGAGAAGAGAAGAGAAGAGAAGAGAAGAGAAGAGAAGAGAAGAGAAGAGAAGGAATGGAGCAGAGCAGAGCAGGAATAGGAATAGGAATAGGAATAGAATGGAGCTCCCAGAGTTGAAGTCCATAAGTCTTAAAGTTGTCAAGGCTGGAGACTCCTAGAATAGAATATTCTTAGTTTCCTCCATAAGAATCACGCAGCCACATCCTTCCCCAGCAAACTACTAATTGCAGATTGGTTGCACCTGCAACTAAAGAGTTTCCACAGCTGGAGACCATAGACTCCTAGAAACCCCAGGGCTAGAAGGGATCTTGCAGGTCCTATAGGGAGTCATCATCTCAATTAGGAAGCAACTGCTACAGGTGTGGGATCTTTCTGTTTCCTGAACTCCCTTCCTAAAAAAAGGAAATATTTGATTTTCCTGGGGAAGGAGAAGCCAAGCTCCACTGGGACACCACTGGATGTTGTCCTGCTGGACAGGAAAGCTCAAAAAACCAGCTGTCCCCCATTTGTAGAAGGACCTTCAGGAGTTCTAGGGCTTGTTCTGTCCCAGTTGTTCACAAGGTAAGCTTGTTCCTGTCTCTGAAATGGCAGTGGAAAGAGTTATTGTTACAAGGGGCTGGGAAATAGAAAACTCACTTTTTTTTTTTTTACAGTGCCATTGTAACTTTGGTTCCTAAACAATGATTGTAAGTCAAAAATTTTGTTTTTTTTTTGGCCTTTGTCCCCATTCCCTACCCCCAGACTCCTGTGCAATGAAGTAATAGAATTAACAGAATAACAGAGTTGGATGGGACCTTGGAGGTCTTCTAGTCTAACCCCCTGCTCAAGCAAGAGGTCCTATTATAATTCCAGAGAAGTGGCTGTCCAGTCTCTTCTTAAAAGCCTCCAGTGATGGAGCAGCCACAACTTCTGAAGTCATTAGATCAAGTTCAGTTCAAGAGATTTTTAATGGATGATTAATGAGAAACAAATAATGAAAGGAGTGGAGTTTTAATGAGACTCTTAATGTAGCCACCTCATTTTTTTTCTGCTTTGCAAGGAAGCCTAATAAAAAACAACGTTGCTGCTTCAATGAATTCAGTGGCAGTTGAGGTTAACAATTGCAGCTTTTTTTAACCCAGGAAAAACCTTAAGTAATGTGTTTTTTTTCCAGTCCACACTAGGTGGCGTATTTGTCTTGCATTTTATGTGGGATTATGTACATTTAACATAATCAATCCAATTTTTCTGTGGCATGTTCTTACAAAGCTTAAGATTTCTTAGGGAAAGAAATAGTTTAACATACATCTAGGCCAGGGTTGTCTGTCTTGGAATAATGGTAAAAGAGTTAATTTAAGAGACTTTAACTTTTTTAAAAAATCTAGAAGTAGAACTAGTATGAAACAAACGGGAATTTCACACTTGTCTTACAATAGTTCACAGTGACTTTCTCACCCCCTCCCCAAACCTTCTAGAGGTTCAACATTGCAGAAGAAAAACTCAGAAAAACTGAAAAAAAGAAAAGCTGATCTCAACCAGCCTTCTTAATATGTTTGGAAAGATGCTACCTTCGGTCATTATTAAAATAACAAATTCAGGATAAAAAAAATCTTATAAAATACTTCCGTATTGGGATACTATAGATTCAGTTTATGATAGTTCAGGAATGGAATGGAATGGAATGGAATGGAATGGAATGGAATGGGAATAGGAATAGAATTGGAGTAGAATAAAATAAACAGAGTTGGAAGTAAATCTTCGAGGTCTTGTAGTCCAACTCCCTCTACCATTTCAGACAAATGGTTATCCAATCTCTTCTTAAAAACTTCCAGTGTTGGAGCATTCACAACTCCTGGAGGTAAGTTGTTCCACTGATTAATTGTCCTTTTAGGAAATTTCTCCTTGGTTTTAGGTTGCTTCTCTCCTTGATTAGTTTCCACCCATTGCTTCTTGTCCTGCCCACAGAGGCTTTGGAGATTTATTTGACCCCACTTCTTTGTGGCAGCCCCTGAGATACTGGAACACTGCTATCCTGTTTCCCTTAGTCCTTCTTTTTATTAATCTAAAGATAAAGCTTCCCCTCACACATCTCCGTTACAAAGCCGAAGAGCCAGAGCTGTCCAAAGACGTTTCCGTGGTCATGTGGCCGGCATGACTAAATGCCTTTGAAGGCACATAGAGGAACCTTCCCACCCAAGTGGTCCCTATTTTTCTACTTGCATTTTTTTACATGCTTTCGAACTGCTAGGTCAGCAGAAGCTGGGACAAGTAACGGGAGCACACGCCATTATGCAGCGCTGTGGATTCGAACTTCCGAAATGCTGACCTTTCTCATTGACAAGCTCAGCATCTTAGCACTGAGCCACTATGTCCCTTATTAAACTAGACATACCTAATTCTAGCAACCGTTCTTTATATGTTTTAGGAGACTGCTGGCATTTTCCTATAACACTACGAAATAATATTGCATATCACAGACTATAGAAGAGAAGTTGGAAATTTGCCTTTGTTCTTTTTTTTAAATTCCACTTTGCAACCCTGTATTCCTTACTACTTTAGGAACCGTTCCAAATTTTT